CTTGATATCGTACCCTTGATTAATCATTATAGATTACGAATTTTAAAAAAATCATATTTCTTTTACGTTTTACGTTTCGTTTACGTTTCAGATTATCTTCCGTAAGGGGCAGTGAATTTAAAATGGATTTACATAGCAAACCGTACCCCACTTTTAACTTTTAAATAAATGCAATAATTTATTTTAGATAGTCGTAATATGTAGTGCTAAATCATTAGTGATATGAACACTAAATTGTAAAAAAAAATAATAAAATAAATTAATCTGGTCGCATTTCCTATTGTACTTTGACCAATTCAACTGCTAAAAGAAATTTACTAAAGCTCAAAATGTCCAAAATATTTACTTGAGCATTAGTTTAACATTTACAATATTGAATTCATTGTAGTCATAAGAGTCGGCAAATTTAGTTCGCTAACCACTATTCCATGACAAATCTTACTTCTAGACAAACATATATAACTATATACAGGCCATAAATCAAATTTTACATAATTCGAAATCAAAGTTTTATTGATTACTGTGTAAAGTGCCACTAGAAGGATTAAACTTTTGATCTCTCTGCGTGATATTATATAAGCACACTACCGGCATTCGTTGAAAGGTTTCATCCATTATGAATGACTTTATCTCCAAACGGAACACAATGAAAATTAAGAACCTTCAGCTTATTTCCATTTTTCAGGCGTCGATTCGTTGAATTTATCACGTGATAAATGAAACTTTAGTAAAATCGCAAACAAAACAACGAGCGGATATTCAACGTCAAGAGACGCCACATCCTTATATAACCCTTAATCTTATTCAACGTGAATGGTCCTTCTGACATCGAGATTTATAATAGTCTGAAAACCTACACCAAGGAGAGACGTGATATCTAGAAATTCTTTAAACGTAAAACTCTTTTCAAAGGCAAACAGATCTGATAAACTACATTGCGGGAAATATATATAAAAAAAATACATTTTAAGTTTGGTTAATTTAATAACACCTCACACCTTATTATTCAATAAGTTAACAGATTGATTACTTGATTTGATTTTTAAGGATTATCAACACTTTGTATGTTATTTAAAACCGAAATATTTGGGGATTTTAAGAATCATTTTTTGCCTAGCAAATATTGCATTTAAAGTGTTTTTGAAGATAGCAATGATTCCTCCAGATACAAAACCTGCTATTTAACCTATAGATGGCGAGAGGAAAAATGGATTCGTACCTTCCAAAATATATGTAACGTACTCGATTTTCCAATTTCCTATACCGAGCCGCTATCTATTACACCACCCACACATCCAGAATCCGGCTTGCACTCATCTGAAAAAGGTAAACAAATGGGTGGTATACTCTCGACTCAAAAGTACTTAAATCTGGTTTCCATTCGAGGGAAAAAGGAAGAAACTGGTGAGATTTCGAGACCTTCTGAGACTCGACTGGAATACATAGTCATGGCGGTGCTATATATTCGTGTCAAAGTATTAAACATAGGTCCTTTCTTCTACTAGAATTAAAAAGATACACTAATGGTCACATTTATATTCGTGTCTGTAATTATCTGCTCGGAATTTTTTTTTTGTTTTTTTTTTTTTTGTGTGGTTGCTTATCTTTCTAGAGAGGATGCAGTCGTCAAAAATAGGAAATGAAGAAATCAACTTCCATATAAGATTTTGAAATATCTTCGATAGTGTTTAAACGACAGCAATTTTTAAATCAATTGTAAATTTCTCAAATGAACGCTAACTTCTTAAAAAATGTATTTTGCCTCGTCTTTATTCCGAGTCATGTTTATACAGTATAATTACTGTAAATATATGCATCTTTCGTCTTCTAAACGCCGCTAGAAATAATCCAGATCTATTTAGGTGTACTTCGTTCGGTTTTGTTTGGTTTGGTTTGGTTTGTTTTATGGCACATCAACCTCAATGGATTATTTAATGGATTATTGCTCGTATTTTCTTTTTCAAAAATGTAATGCTGGTAATATAGTTTTCCTTCAAAAATACATTTCTGGTAATATATTTCTTTCAAAAATTTATCGCTGGTAATATTTCTTTTCAAAACTGTATAGTTACTAAGTTCATGGATTTCATCTGTTGATTTTATCAGAAAATGAACTCACAATTGATAACGTTGCCATAAGTTCTTTTTAACTTAATTGTGAAGAAAAGTTTTACCTCTTGAGCAATATCCTGATTACTACAGTTTACGCCGTTTTACATGCAATGTGTTTTACTGCGTTATCCGTCTTGCTGTTAGTGCATAAGTTTATACTTATGTAATATAACTTTATCCTTAATAAAAGGAAAGCTGGGTGAACAATAACTGAAAAATACTAAACAAAATGAGATATCCGCACACATGAACAGAGGCACGAGAACAGTCTAGCCACAGCTGTGGTTCAGAATGGCTTATCTTTACGATAATAACAAAGAAAATGTAGATATTATTCCGATTTTCAAAATGACGATAAAGGTAGATTTTACTGAAATACAACGCAAAGGCAATGCACGTAACTAAATATAAACTCTAAAATTTGATTTGGAACACAATGAACAAATTATTACTGTCAACTCCCCGAGTTCACTCTTTATTCTTTTGTTCCGTTAAACAACAGTGACAGAAAAACAGATTGAATATTGGGAAAATATATTGACGTTGCTAGAGATGTGATAACATTAAGACATGTGAAGTGGTTAAATCCACCCACCATTTTGTCGCGCTTGATTCAATCCGGAAGAGCTTGCAAAAAGAATGAAAAAGATGGAAACGCACACAAGAATTGAATCTGTCCAGATGACAGTATTTTAAATTCAACAATATACTTGAGGTAAAGGTAAAACTATAACTAGACTTCATCTCCATATTTATTACAACGTTTCGACCGTTGTGCGCTCCGGCCTTCTTCAGGTGGTTGGAATGTCGGACTGAAACCTTTATTTCGCTCACTTGGTTAGACTGTTCTAGTTCCACGTGCCATGTTTTTAATGGATGTCAGTTATCAGTTATCTCCTGTTAATTCCCGTCTCCAAGTTCTCTACTGCCTTAACCGGGTATTGAACTCACACTCTTTGGGTCCTTTCACTGGATCTAAACAACGCTTTTATTCACTGTGCCATGTGTCCTTCGTTAGAGAGATATAACTAGACTTTTTCTCACTTGATCTCCAAGTACCACCAGATACTACTTGTGTGAAAATTCTGTTTACAAAAAGATAAAACAATGCATATTCAATGTCAACAACAAGAGAAAGCATTTCGTTAATATAACATTATAAAGTAATGAAAGATTCTTTTAAAATTTTGGCTGATGGAAAATTAAAAAATTAAAAGAACAGAAGTTTTAGTACATGATTGTAAGAAATTCTGTTTAAACACAGAAAAGCTCAAAGTAAAATTATTGTAGCAATAAATTATTTTGCAGAAATAACTTAATTCCCAAGCCACTAATAAAAAAAAAAGATTTCTAATTTTTATGAAAAAATAATCACTTTTGTTTACTGATATAATTTTTGTATGATTGCAGAAAGTTTTAATAAATAATCTGGTCGTGCGCGATTTATAATTTCTGTTTCTGTGTACATTTAGCAAATTATTTAATTATGTGTTCATTGTAAATTCTGTTGACATGAATATTTATATAAAAGTTGCAGTGTATATTTTAATAACACAGCGGTCCTGTGTGTTTTACACATTTTGTGGCTGTTTTTGCTTTATAAATAATCCGACAGCATGTGTAAATTTAGATAAATTTGTGGTAGCTACCGATTTAAAAAAAGATATTGTAAGATTTTGCATTTTACAAACCAAACTATTTATATTCCATCATCGCCGATGGGATCCAACACTTGAACCAGTCAAGATGAATGGATGTTCCCTCAGAGAGATCCTATGACTTGATCTCCTATTGAACCTTAAACTCATTCCAGAGATCAAGTAGAACTCGTACATATGATCCATCATTAAAGATGCAGAAAAAAAACGGTCGATTCTCTGTACCGCTCCGGTAATTCTCTAACTCCTCTTGCTATCCTCTACCTGTACAAAAGCCAGATCAGGCCTAAAATGGAGTACTCCTGTCATATTTGGACAGGAGCTGCTCAGACATAACTTTCCAGTCGCGATAGAGTATAAAAGCGTCCCCGCGTATTTGTGGCTGACAAATTATTTGCCACCATTAAACCGCTTCTCTCAAAGACGAAATCTCGCAAACTATCACTACTTCCATGGAAACTGCTCAGACAAACAACACTCCTTAACTACCCCAGTTCTAGCCCCATTCTACCCTCATTCTCTCCGTATCACATTGTTGAGAAGTAATTCCCATTCGACCAGCTTTTTCCAGCGAACCAGGGATCTGTGGAAGCTACTCTCAAGAGGATTTTCTCACGACCACTACAATATTAACCGGCTCAAGTCGAGGCTTAACCATTATCTTCCCCACATATCTGCATATACGATACAAAATACGTGCAAATTCTGTAACCTTCTACCTGGAATGACTCACAGGCCTTGTATAGGAAGAACATCACTGTAAAAAAAACTTTTCCTGTGTGCTCTTTACTTTTACTGTGACCGGACACATTTTATAAATTTTGTTACCCTTTGTGTATGATGAATAATCTGGCCATGTGTTCCTTTAAATTTGATTGCCGTGGGAACGATATAAATTCTGTGTTATTTGATCCTTTATAAATTATGTGACGGTCTTTTTAATTTCATCGACCGTGTGATCTTTATAAAATCAATTGCTGCTAGTTTTTCATAGATTCTTTGGTCGTGTGTTCTTTATCAATTCATCCGCCATATTTCTTTTCTTTAAGAATTCTATGGCTTTATGTTCGTTAAAAATATTCTTTCCGTCTACTTTTTTTTTTTACAAATTCCCTAACCGTATGAGCATTATAAATTTTGTAGCCATGCAGGATTCATAAATTCGTGACTGTCACCTTCTTAAAAATTCTCTGGCAGGTTTTGCTTTATAAATATTCAAGCTGTTTCCTTATGAATTTTGTTACCATATGCACTTCATATATCTATTGTCTTCGTACGCATTAGAATGACTCTGGCCGTGTGTCCTTTATAATTTTTGTAGTCTGGTCTCATTTTAAAATATGAGGAAATGTTTAACATAAAAAAAACATTCCGGACTGTCTGCTTTTTATAAATTCCGTGGACGTGTTTTCTTTATAAATTCTTTGAAATTTTGAGAGTTATAAATAGTTTAACCGTTTGTTTTGTTGTAATTTCTGTGGTCCTGTGTTCTTCAAAATTCTCTATCTGCTTTTTATTAATTCAGAGTCTATGTACTCTTTATAAATTAAAATAAATTTTAATAAATCAGTGGACATGTGTAAATTAAGATTCTGTAGCAATATAATCATTTTAATCTCTTGAATATTTGTTCTTTATAACTGCTGCAAGTGTGATGATGCATTTCTACACATCACTACACAAAGCCATGGTGACATCCAAGTTCTGTTATAAGCGAATATACACCATTGGCATCTTTTTTTAAAGTTCTCCTTTTTTTTCATGCTTTTCTTTCTTTTCACGTTGTTTTTTTTTTAATGAAATTTATCTTTTTCTACGTATTTTGTTTTTCAACAGTTCTTTCCTTTCTTCCTCCCCCCCCCACTACTACGTTGTGTTTCCTATTTTCGTTCCTGTTTTTTCCAACAGTTTGTTTTTTTTTCTTTTTTTCTTCTCCAATTCCACATTGTTTCCTTCTTTCCTTTCTTCCTCCCCCCCACTACTACGTTGTTTTCCTATTTTCGTTCCTGTTAAAATTATTAGCTTTCCAACAGTTTGTTTTTTTTCTTTTTTTTCTTCTCCAATTCCACATTGTTTTCCTTCTTCTTTTCTTCCTTCCCCCCCCCACTACTACGTTGTTTTTCCTATTTTCGTTCCTGTTAAAATTATTAGCTTTCCAACAGTTTGTTTTTTTTTTTTCTTTTTTTCTTCTCCAATTCCACATTGTTTCCTTCTTTTCCTTTCTTCCTCCCCCAACTACGTTGTGTTTCCTATTTTCGTTCCTGTTAAAATTATTAGCTTTCCAACAGTTTGTTTTTTTCTTTTTTTTTTCTTCTTTTTTCTTCTCAATTCCACTTTTTGTTTCCTTTCAGTTTGTTTTTTTTCTTTCCTTTCTTCCTCCCCCCCCACTACTACGTTGTGTTTTATTTTCGTTCCTGTTAAAATTATTAGCTTTTCCAACAGTTTTTTCCAATTCCACAAAAACTACTACGTTGTGTTTCCTATTTTCGTTCCTGTTAAAATTATTAGCTTTCCAACAGTTTGTCCCATTGTTTTTTCTTTTTTCTTTTTTTATACTACTACGTTGTGTTTCCTATTTTCGTTCCTGTTAAAATTATTAGCTTTCAACAGTTTGTTTTTTTTCTTCTTTTTTTTTCCAATTCCACATTGTTTCCTTCTTCTTTCCTTTCTTCCTCCCCCACTACTACGTTGTGTTTCCTATTTTCGTTCCTGTTAAAATTATTAGCTTTCCAACAGTTTGTTTTTTTCTTCTTTTTCTTCTCAATTCCACATTGTCACTACTACGTTGTGTTTCCTATTTTTCGTTCTGTTAAAATTATTAGCTTTCCAACAGTTTGTTTTTTTTTCTTTTTTTTTCTCCAATTCCACATTGTTTCCTTTCTTCTTCCTTTCTTCCTGTGTTTTATTTTCGTTCCTGTTAAAATTATTAGCTTCCAAATAGTTTGTTTTTTTTTTTTTTTTTCCAATTCCACATCGTTGTGTTTCCTATTTTCGTTCCTGTTTATTAGCTTTCCAACAGTTTGTTTTTTTTTTCTTTTTTTTCTTCTTTTCCTTCTTCTTTCCTTTCTTCCTCCCCCCACTACTACGTTTCATTTTCGTTCCTGTTAAAATTATTTCTTTCCAACAGTTTTTTTTTTTTTTTTTTCTTCTCCAATTCCACATTGTTTCCTTCTTCTTTCCTTTCTTCCTCCCCCCACTACTACGTTGTGTTTCCTATTTTCGTTCCTGTTAAAATTTTTTCTTTCCAACAGTTTGTTTTTTTCTTCTTTTTTTTTTTTCCAATTCACATTGTTTCCTTCTTCTTTCCTTTCTTTCCCCCCACTACTACGTTGTGTTTCCTATTTTCGTTCCTGTTAAAATTATTTCCAACAGTTTGTTTTTCTTTTTTTTCTTCTCCAAAATTACTTGTTTCCTATTTTCGTTCTGTTAAAATTATTAGCTTTCCAACAGTTTGTTTTTTTTTTTTTTTTTCTCAATAATTGTTTCCTTCTTTCTTTCCTTTCTTCCTCCCCCACTTTTACGTTGTGTTTCCTATTTTCGTTCCTGTTAAAATTATTAGCTTTCCAAAGTTTGTTTTTTTTCTTTTTTCTTCTCAATTCCACATTGTTTTTCTTCTTTCTTTTCTTTCTTACGTTGTGTTTCCTATTTTCGTTCCTGTTAAAAAAAATTATTAGCTTTCCAACAGTTTGTTTTTTTTCTTTTTTTCTTCTCCAATTCCCACATTACTACTACGTTGTGTTTCCTATTTTCGTTCTTGTTAAAATTATTAGCTTTCCAACATCAATTCCACATTGTTTCCAGCCTTCTTTCCTTTCTTTGTTTCCCTTTATTTTCGGTTAAAATTGCTTTCCAACAGTTTGTTTTTTTTCTTTTTTTCTTCTCAATTCCACATTGTTTCCTTCTTCTTTTCTTTTTTCCTCCCCCCCACTACTACGTTGTGTTTCCTATTTTCGTTCTTGTTAAAATTATTAGCTTTCCAACAGTTTGTTTTTTTTTCTTCTTTTTCTTCTCCAAAATTTCCCTTCTTCTTTCCTTTCTCCCCCCACTACTACGTTGTGTTTCTATTTTCGTTCCTGTTAAAATTATTAGCTTTCCAACAGTTTGTTTTTTTTTTTTTTCTTCTCCAATTCCACATTGTTTTTTCTTCTTTTTTCCCACTTACTACGTTGTGTTTCCTATTTTCGTTCCTGTTAAAATTATTAGCTTTCCAACAGTTTGTTTTTTTTCCTTCTTTTTCTCCAATTCCACATTGTTTCCTTCTTCTTTCCTTTTCTTCCTCCCCCCACTACTACGTTGTGTTTTATTTTCGTTAATAAAATTATTAGCTTTCCAACAGTTTGTTTTTTTTTTTTTTTTCTTCTCCAATTCCAACTACGTTGTGTTTCCTATTTTCGTTTGTTAAAATTATAGCTTTCCAACAGTTTGTTTTTTTTTTCTTTTTTCTTCTCCAATTCCACATTGTTTCCTTCTTCTTTCCCTTTCTTCCTCCCCCCACTACTACGTTAAGCTTTGTGTTTCCTATTTTCGTTCCTGTTAAAATTATTAGCTTTTTCCAACAGTTTGTTTTTTTTTTTTTTCTTTCTCCAATTCCACATTGTTTTTTCCTTTTTTCTTTCAATTCCATTTTCTTTCCCCCCCAACTACTTTTTTCGTTCCCTGTTAAAATTTTAGCTTTCCAACAGTTTGTTTTTTTTTTTTTCTTTTTTCCAATTCCACATTGTTTCCTTCTTCTTCCTTTCTTCCTTTACGTTGTGTTTCCTATTTTTCTGTTAAAATTATTAGCTTCCTCCCTTTCCAACAGTTTGTTTTTTTTTTCTGATTTTTTCTTCTCCAATTCCACATTGTTTTTTCCTTCTTCTTTCCTTTCTTCCTCCCCCCACTACTACGTTGTGTTTCCTATTTTCGTTTTTAAAATTATTAGCTTTCAACAGTTTGTTTTTTTTTTTTTTTTTCCAATTCCACATTGTTTCCTTCTTCTTTTTTCTTTCCCCCCACTACACGTTTGTTTCCTTTTTTTTTTTAAAATTTTATTAGCTTTCCAACAGTTTGTTTTTTTTCTTCTTTTTCTTCTCAATTCCCACATTGTTTCCTTCTTCTTTCCTTTCTTCCCCCCCCTACTGTTGTTGTGTTTCCTATTTTCGTTCCTGTTAAAATTATTAGCTTTCCAACAGTTTGTTTTTTTTCTTTCTTCCTCCCACATTGTTTCCTATTTTCTTCCTTTTTCTTTCTCTTCTTTTTTCCCCACTACTACGTTCTTGTTTCCTATTTTTCGTTCCTGTTAAAATTATTAGCTTTCCAACAGTTTGTTTTTTTTTTCTTTTTTTCTTCTCCAATTCCACATTGTTTCCTTCTTCTTTCCTTTCTTCCTCCCCCCACTACTACGTTGTGTTTCCTATTTTCGTTCCTGTTAAAATTAGTTTTTTTTTTTCTTTTTTCTTTAGCTTTCCAACAGTTTGTTTTTTTTTTTTTTTTTTTCTTTTTTTTCTTCTTTCCAACTACGTTGTGTTTCCTATTTTCGTTCCTGTTAAAATTATTACACAGTTTGTTTTTTTCTTTCTTTTTTCTTCTCCAATTCCACATTGTTTTTCTTTTTCTTCTTTCCTTTCTTCCTCCTAATTTTCGTTGTGTTTCCCTATTTTCGTTCTGTTAAAATTATTCTTTCAACAGTTTTTTTTTTTTCTTTCCACATTTTTTTCCTTCTTCTTTTCCTTTCTTCCCACTACTACGTTGTGTTTCCTATTTTCGTTCCTGTTAAAATTATTAGCTTTCCAACAGTTTGTTTTTTTTTCTTTTTTCTTCCAATTCCACATTCCAGTTTCCTATTTTCGTTCCCTGTTAAAATTATTAGCTTTCCAACAGTTTGTTTTTTTCTTCTTTTTTCCTCCAATTATTGTTTCCTTCTTCTTTTTTCTTTTTCTATTTTCGTTCCTGTTAAATTATTAGCTTTCCAACAGTTTGTTTGTTTCCTTCTTCTTTCCCTTTTTTCTTCTTTTTTCTATTTTCTCCAAGCTTTCCACATTGTTTCCTTCTTCTTTCCTTTCTTCCTCCCCCCTACTACGTTGTGTTTCCTATTTTCGTTCCTGTTAAAATTATTAGCTTTCCAACAGTTTGTTTTTTTCTTCTTTTTTCTTTTCAATTTCATTGTTTCCTTCATTGTTTCCCCCACTTCTTGTGTTTTTTTATTAGCTTTCCTCAATTCCACATTGTTTCTTCTTCGTTCCCCTTTACCTATTTCTGTTCCTGTTAAAATTATTTTTTGTTTTTTATTTTCGTTCCTGTTAAAATCTCCAATTCCACATTGTTTCCTTCTTCTTTCCTTTCTTTCTAACAGTTTCCTATTTTGTTTTTTTTTCTTTCCAACTTTTTTTCTTTCCAATTCCATTTGTTTCCCTTCTTTTCTTTCTTCCTCCCCCCCCACTATTACGTTGTTTTCCTACATTCCTGTTAAAATTTCTTTCAACAGTTTGTTTTTTTTCTTTTCTTCTCAATTACATTGTTTCCTTCTTCTTTCCTTTCTTCCTCCCCCCTACTACGTTGTGTTTCCCTATTTTCGTTCCTGTTAAAATTATTAGCTTTTCCAACAGTTTGTTTTTTTCTTCTTTCTTCTTCTTTCTTCTACAATTCCTCTTAATTATTAGCTTTCCAACATTTGTTTTTTTTCTTCTTCTTTCTTCTTTCCTTTCTTCCTCCCCCCACTACCCCCATTAAATTTATTAGCTTTCCAACTACTTGTTTCCGTTTTTTTCTTCTTTTACTCAATTCCATTTGTTTTTTCCTACGTTGTTTTTCGTTCCTGTTAAAATTATTAGCTTTCAACAGTTTGTTTTTTTTTTTTCTTCTCAATTCCACATTGTTTTTTTTTTCTTCCTCCCTTAATTACACGTTGTGTTTCTATTTTCGTTCCCAACAGTTTGTTTTTTCTTTCCAATTCTTTCCTTTCTTCTTCCCCCCCCACTACTACGTTGTGTTTCCTATTTTCGTTCCTGTTAAAATTATTAGCTTTCCAACAGTTTGTTTTTTTTTTTTCTTACGTTTTTTCTATTTTCTCCAATTCCAACAGTTTGTTTTTTTTTCTTCTTTTTTCTTCTTTCCATTTGTTTTCTTCTTTCCTTTCTTCCTCCCCCCACTACTACGTTGTGTTTCCTATTTTCGTTCCTGTTAAAATTATTAGCTTTCCAACAGTTTGTTTTTTCTTCTTTTTTCTTCTCCAATTCCACATTTTTTCCTTCTTCTTTCTTTCTTCCCCCCACTACTTTCCTGTTAAAATTATTAGCTTTTTTGTTTTTTTTCTTCTTTTTCTTCTCCAAAATTGTTTCCTTCTTCTTTCCTTTCTTTATTACGTTGTGTTTCCTATTTTCGTTCTGTTAAAATTAACAGTTTGTTTTTTTTTCTTTTTTTCTTCCAATTCCACATTGTTTCCTTCTTCTTTCCTTTCTTCCTCCCCCAATTACTACTACGTTGTGTTTCCTATTTTCGTTCCTGTTAAAATTATTAGCTTTCCAACAGTTTGTTTTTTTCTTCTTTTTTTTTTTCATTGTTTTCTTTTTTTCTTTTCTCCAACATTGTTTCCTATTTTCATTGTTTCCTTCTTCTTTCAATAGTTTGTTTTTTCTTCCTCCCCCCAACTACTACGTTGTGTTTCCTATTTTCGTTCCTGTTAAAATTATTAGCTTTCCAACAGTTTGCTTTTTTTCCAACAGTTTGTTTTTTTCTTCTTTTTTCCTATTTTCGTTCCTGTTAAAATTATTACAGTTTCCTTTTTTTTTTTCTTTTTTTTCTTCTCCAATTCCAGTTTGTTTTTTTTTCTTCCTTTCCTCCCCCCCCCACTACTACGTTGTGTTTCCTATTTTCGTTCCTGTTAAAATTATTAGCTTTCCAACAGTTTTTTTTTTTTTTTTTTTTCTCCAATTCCACATTGTTTCCTTCTTCTTTCCTTTCTTCCTCCCCACTACTACGTTGTCAGGTCTTATTTTCGTTCCTGTTTTCCTATTAGCTTTCAACAGTTTGTTTTTTTTTCTTCTTTTTCTTCTCAATTCCACATTGTTTCCTTTTCTTTCTTCCCCCACTACTACGTTGTGTTTCCTATTTTCGTTCCTGTTAGCTTTCCAACAGTTTGTTTTTTTTTCTTCTTTTTCTTCTCCAATTCTCCTCCCCCAACAGTTTGTTTTTTTTCCTGTTTTTCTTTCCAACAGTTTTTTTTTTTTTTTTCTTTTTCTTCTCCAATTCCACATTGTTTCCTTCTTCTTTCCTTTCTTCCTCCCCCCCCCACTACTACGTTGTGTTTCCTATTTTCGTTCCTGTTAAAATTATTAGCTTTCCAACAGTTTGTTTTTTTTTCTTCTTTTTTCTTCTCCAATTCCACATTGTTTCCTTCTTCTTTTCCTTTCTTCCTCCCCCCCCAACTACGTTGTGTTTCCTATTTTCGTTCCATTTGTTTTTTCTTCTTTTTTTGTTTCCTTCTTCTTTTCTTCCTCCCCCCTACTACGTTGTGTTTCCTATTTTCGTTCTGTTAAAAGGTATTAGCTTTCCAACAGTTTGTTTTTTTCTTCTTTTTTCTTCTCCAATTCCACATTGTTTCCTTCTTCTTTCCTTTCTTCCCCCCCACTACTACGTTGTGTTTCCTATTTTCGTTCCTGTTAAAATTATTAGCTTTCCAACAGTTTGTTTTTTTTCTTCTTTTTTTCTTCTCCAATTCCACATTGTTTCTACGTTTTGTGTTTCCATTTTTTTTCCTTTTTTCTTTAAAATTATTTTCTTTCTACGTTGTGTTTGTTTTTCTTCTTTTTTCTTCCAATTCACATTGTTTCCCTTCTTCTTTCCTTTCTTCCCCCCCCCACTACTACGTTGTGTTTTATTTTCGTTCCTTTTTCTTCCAACAGTTTGTTTTTTTCTTCTTTTTTCTTCTCCAATTCCACATTGTTTCCTTCTTCTTTCCTTTCTTCCTCCCCCCCCCCACTACTACGTTGTGTTTCCTATTTTCGTTCCTGTTAAAATTATTAGCTTTCCAACAGTTTGTTTTTTTTTCTTTTTCTTCTCCAATTCATTGTTTCCTTCTTCTTTTCTTTCTTCCCCCCCACTACTACGTTGTGTTTCCTATTTTCGTTCCTGTTAAAATTATTAGCTTTCCAACAGTTTTTTTTTTTTTTCTTTTTTTTTCTTTTTTTTCCTTCTTCTTTTTTCTTCCTCCCCCCCAATACGTTGTGTTTCCACATTGCTTTTCCAACAGTTTGTTTTTTTCTTCCTTTCCAATTCTTCCTTTCTTCTTTCCTTCCTCCCCCCCCCACTACTACGTTTGTTTTTTCTTTTTTTTTTTTTTTCTTTCCTTCTTAAAAATTATTAGCTTTCCAACAGTTTGTTTTTTCCTATTAAAATTATTAGCTTTCCAACAGTTTGTTTTTCTTTTTTCTTCTCCAATTGTTTTCCTTCTTCTTTCCTTTCTTCCTCCCCCCACTACTACGTTGTGTTTCCTATTTTCGTTCCTGTTAAAATTATTAGCTTTCCAACAGTTTGTTTTTTTTTTTCTTTTTCTTCTCCAATTCCACATTGTTTTCCCTTCTTCTTTCCTTTTTTCCTACATTGTGTTTCCTATTTTCGTTCCTGTTAAAATTATTAGCTTTCCAACAGTTTGTTTTTTTTCTTTTTTTCTTCTCCAATTCACATTGTTTCCTTCTTCTTTCCTTTTTCCTCCCCCCCCTACAGTTTGTTTTTTTTCGTTCCTGTTTTTTTTCTTTCCAACAGTTTGTTTTTTTTTTTTCTTTTTTCGTTGTGTAATTTTCGTTCCTGTTAAAATTATTAATTCCACATTGTTTTTTTTTTCCTTCTTTCCCTTCCCCCCCACTACTACGTTGTGTTTCCTATTTTCGTTCCTGTTAAAATTATTAGCTTTCCAACAGTTTGTTTTTTCTTTCCAACAGTTTTTTTTTTTTTTTTTTCTTCTCAATTTTTTTTTCTTCCTTCAATTTCTTTCCTTTCCTTTCTTCCTCCCCCCCCTACTGTTGTGTTTCCTATTTTCGTTCCCCAAAAGTTTGTTTTTTTCTTTTTTACTTCTCCAACGTTTGTTTTTTTTCTTTCTTTTCTTTTCCAATTCCCAACAGTTTGTTTTTTTTTCTTTTTGTTTCCACATTGTTTCTTTCCTTTCTTCCTCCCCCCCACTACTACGTTGTGTTTCCTATTTTCGTTCCTGTTAAAATTATTAGCTTTCCAACAGTTTGTTTTTTTTCTTCTTTTTCTTCTCCAATTCCACATTGTTTCCTTCTTCTTTCCTTTCTTTCTTCCCCCCCCACTACTACGTTGTGTTTCCTATTTTCGTTCCTGTTAAATTATTAGCTTTCCAACAGTTTGTTTTTTTTCTTTTTTTCTTTCCAATTCACATTGTTTCCTTTTCTTTTTTCTTTCTACGTTGTGTTTCCTATTTTCGTTCCAAGCTTTCCAACAGTTTTTGTTTTTTTTTTTTTTCTTTCCAATTCCACCTTCTTCTTTCCTTTCTTCCTCCCCCCCCCCACTACTACGTTGTGTTTCCTATTTTCGTTCCTGTTAAAATTATTAGCTTTCCAACAGTTTGTTTTTTTCTTCATTGTTTCCTTCTTTCCACATTGTTTCCTTCTTCTTTCCTTTCTTCCTCCCCCATTGTTTCCTTCTACTTTTTTTTCCTATTTTCGTTCCTGTTAAAATTATTAGCTTTCCAACAGTTTTTTTTTTCTTCTTTTTTTCTTCTCCAATTCCACATTGTTTCCTTCTTCTTTCCTTTCTTCCCCCCCCCACTACTACGTTGTGTTTCCTATTTTCGTTCCTGTTAAAATTATTAGCTTTCCAACAGTTTGTTTTTTTTCTTCTTTTTTCTTCTCCAATTCCACATTGTTTCCTTCTTCTTTCCTTTCTTCCTCCCCCCACTACTACGTTGTGTTTCCTATTTTCGTTCCTGTTAAAATTATTAGCTTTCCAACAGTTTGTTTTTTTTTCTTCTTTTTTCTTCTCCAATTCCACATTGTTTCCTTCTTCTTTCCTTTCTTCCTCCCCCCCCCACTACTACGTTGTGTTTCCTATTTTCGTTCCTGTTAAAATTATTAGCTTTCCAACAGTTTTTTTTTTCTTTTTTTCTTCTCCAATTCCACATTGTTTCCTTCTTCTTTCCTTTTTTCCCCCCCCCACTACTACGTTGTTTTCCTATTTTCGTTCAGTTTGTTTTTTTTTCTTTTTTTAGCTTTCCAAACATTTTCCTTTTCTTCTCCCGTTCCTTTTTTCCTTTCCCCCCACTACTACGTTGTGTTTCCTATTTTCGTTCCAATTATTAGCTTTCCAACATTGTTTTTTTCTTTTCTTCTCCAATTCCCATTGTTTCCTTCTTCTTTCCCCTTTCCACTACTACGTTGTGTTTCCTATTTTCGTTCCTGTTAAAATTATTAGCTTTCAACAGTTTGTTTTTTTTTTCTTCTTTTTTTTCTTCTCCAATTCCACATTGTTTTCCTTCTTCTTTCCTTTTCTTCTCCCCCCCCACTACTACGTTGTGTTTCCTATTTTCGTTCCTGTTAAAATTATTAGCTTTCCAACAGTTTTTTTTTTTTTCTTCTTTTTCTTCTCCAATTCCACATTGTTTCCTTCTTCTTTTTTCCTTTTTCCTTACTACGTTGTGTTTCCTATTTTCGTTCCTGTTAAAATTATTAGCTTTCCAACAGTTTGTTTTTTTCTTCTTTTTCTTCTCAATTCCACATTGTTTCCTTCTTCTTTCCTTTCTTCCTCCCCCCACTACTACGTTGTGTTTCCTATTTTCGTTCCTGTTAAAATTATTAGCTTTCCAACAGTTTGTTTTTTTTCTTCTTTTTCTTCTCAATTCCACATTGTTTCTTTTCTTTCCTTTCTTCCTCCCCCCCACTACTACGTTGTGTTTCCTATTTTCGTTCCTGTTAAAATTATTAGCTTTTTCCAACAGTTTGCTTTTCTTTTTTTTTTTTTTTTTTTTTCTCCAATTCCACATTTTTTTTTTCCTTTTTCTTCTTTCCTTTTCTTTCCTCCCCCCACTACTACGTTGTGTTTCCTATTTTCGTTCCTGTTAAAATTATTAGCTTTCCAACAGTTTGTTTTTTTTCTTCTTTTTTTTCTCCAATTCCACATTGTTTCCTTCTTTTCCTTTTCTTCCTCTTCCCCCCCCACTACTACGTTGTGTTTCCTATTTTCGTTCCTGTTAAAAATTATTAGCTTTCCAACAGTTTGTTTTTTTCTTCTTTTTTTTTCTTCCAATTCCACATTGTTTTCCTTCTTCTTTCCTTTTCTTCCTCCCCCCACTACTACGTTGTGTTTCCTATTTTCGTTCCTGTTAAAATTATTAGCTTTCCAACAGTTTGTTTTTTTTTCTTCTTTTTTCTTCTCCAATTCCACATTGTTTCCTTCTTCTTTCCTTTCTTCCTCCCCCCCCCACTACTACGTTGTGTTTCCTATTTTCGTTCCTGTTAAAATTATTAGCTTTCCAACAGTTTGTTTTTTTTCTTCTTTTTTCTTCTCCAATTCCACATTGTTTCCTTCTTCTTTCCTTTTTTTCAGTTTTACTTTTTTCCCTTATTTCCGTACGCGGTGGTTCCGTGGTTACTAACCCTGGTCATGGCACCAATTATGATTAAGCGTTTCTGTACGTCACTGTACAGCTATGATGACATCCAATGCCGGCTGTATGCGAATACACTTCGTCTTTCCCTGTGTTCAAAGGTTTGTTTCAATATAAGGGCCGTGACTGATATCAACAAAGAATAACAACAAATGCTTTTCAAGACACTGGTTCGGAAGTAGCGACAAATAAGATAACTCAATTATAGTCTTGTCACGGAAAACAGACCCCTACATGAGCACTGCCTGATCGTCTCACTACCTGATGTCTGTTTCACTGACTGACTTATTGCCGGTTCTTTCACTGAAAAGTCTGTACATGGATACTGGCTGATAGACCCACTTGTGTTCAACCAACCGGAAAAGGGGACCACCCAGTCAGCTTTTAGATGGCCAGTTTTTCAAAGGACTCTACTTTTACCGCTATATAAAATCACTAACCAAATTTTATGTTTGCCAATTCAAAGGCGACCTGGAAACAGTCAAATGCTAGTCATTTTATTTACTCAAAGACTGGTTGGATACAAGATTCCTAAGAAAACCTGGTCATTAAACTGATTTAAACGTAAACAGAATCTATCTCCTAACGATGTTTGAGAAATTGTATTGTTGCACAAGCATAAATGCTTCATAGACTATGGTCGTTTTTTGTTTTTATAAACTCAGTGGTCGATTTCTTTATATAAATATCTATAAGCAAGCTCACATTATAAATTCTCTGAACGTGTGTCCGTTATAAAGTCTGTGGTTACATATATTTTATAAATTCTGCTTCTGCGTGTTCTTTACTAATTGCTCTTTAGAAATTCTATGGACTTGCGTTCTTTATAAACTTTATGACCATGGGCAAATTATAAATTTTTTTGCGTGTGACCGTGGGCGCTTTTTAAAAAGATGTAGGCGTATTTTCCTTAATAATTTTGTTGATGTGTGCTCTTTAAAATTCTATGGCTTTGTGTTCTTTATTAATTCTGTGGATGGCGGTTCTTAACAAATCACGTGATTTTCCCCTCTCTTTCAGTCAGATGTATCATGAGTTGGCAAAATCTTATATTCAATGCTAAACTAATTAAACTTGATAGAAAAATATTCGTAATTGCATGACTGGATTCGTATCCGTAACAACACAATTTATGTGAAAAAAAACAACAACTCATCCAATAATTATATCTGGTTTTTATTTCTTTCGTGTTGACATGTTTGAACTCAAACGTTCCATCTTTTGGTTTAGGATCTTAGATATAAACATTAATCAGCAGTAGAAGATCGAACGAAATATTACGTGATTGATAATTACAGATATTCTCCGATGGAAAAATCTATAAAAGAACTTTGCTCTTTTCCAAGATCGAACTTCGCGTTTATCCCAAGAAACCTCTTTGTAGTATTGCATTTTCTTCTTTTGATTTGAAAGAGATTTAATCAAAAGAGCACGCAACCTCGCGGAGGCATTTGGTAATAAATTAAGTCGGATACGAATTGTCTGTTATGTTAGACCACCTTTATTCAATGCTGTGCATATAACTCACTCAGACGCACACATCCCAACTAACAAAGACATACACAATATCGTTCACAATGCGTAGAGATAAGTCGTGAAAAACTTCTGTTCTCACACATATAGAAATATTCACGGATATGCACAAGCACATACACACATAAAAAAGACACAGGGTTATGCGCACACAGATAAATATGGGTACACCCAACCCTACTCACATACACAAACATAAGTTATATGGAAAAACACAAAGAAACGTAAGTATAAAAATAAAATCGCACATATACACACAGATATTTTTTTTTTAATTTTAATATTAAACATATATGGTAAATAGAAGTACATACTCATACAGAGCGATCCGAATATCGAAGGAATTTCTTATTCCTTTAGACCTGGGATTCCCAATGTCGGTGCTACAACATTCTGCAAGAGATGAAAAAATCCTGTGTCTCATGAGAAAAAAAGAGGGGGACAGAGATCCTCTAGAAAAAAAAGTGAGCTTTACGGGGCCTCAAGATAGTATTAAAATCAAGTAATAGTTTCTGATATTTACTCTACAGGCCAGTCGGTTCAGACAGCCGACATTTGCAGTTGCCAATGCTCTAGGTTTGTAGGTCGAACGATATAGCCGCATATCTTCGTCTGGCGATATCTTATTGTTGTGGATTCCGGATTGAAATCCGGTACAAATAAATAACAAACGCCAGGAATGAATATATGAAAATAATGTATTAACGTAATAATACAAACTGGTAATGCAGGTTAGTAGTTCCAGGAATACGGGTTAGTAGCAAAATATATATACATGACTTCGGTGTATGACTTCTTACTGAGTCTACGTGCTTGCTCACTGTGACTCCTACTATGCTGTTACCTCACCCTCACTCTTCCGGTTACTTACAACCTTTTACTCTGTCACTCTGGACTCGACTCGACTCCTCGGTCTTGCTCTCGGGTCTTCACGTAGCCGTAGTATATGTATATACTGGGTGAGTTCATTTGTGTAAAAAGGGGAGAACCTCTCAACACTTATCTAATGGGATCTAAAACAAATGTCTAAATGTATTTCCTTGGATATCTCCTGTCTGTTCAGCCGTTATAGCCAACAGGGATAACTTCTTCCTGATATACCAGTCCGATTGTAACAGACGTCACTTTGTCACTGCTGGTAATGAATGTAAGCGTGTCCTCAAGACGGCAGTGTGACTATTCTCTGATGAAATGAACCACCGTATACCCTCACAAAAATTCGGTTCTACAGATTACTGGCTGCTCTATAAGAGCGTACTGAACAAGAGAAAATATTCAGTCCCTCCTCTCTTCATTCAATTTGAAATGCTATTATCAACTGCTGATAAAGCATGGTGCTTTGCTCGGTAATTCTCTTCAAATTCCATTCTCGATTCATCTTGAATATCTTTAACTCATTTTCTACTTAGAACAAGAACCTCTACTGACTGATATACACATAATTCCGTTCATATTTTCTGCTATAATCTCTAAGATAGATCACCACAAGGCTTGCGAATTCGACGGTGTCCCTGATATAGTCTTAAATAAATATACACGTGAAATAAAGCTCCGTTTTCTCAAAACTCAAACTTCCACGCTGTTTCTTGCTTTTCCGGCTGGTTGAAAGTCCTCCTCTGTATTTTCTGTCTTTAAGAACTCTAGTATGATTCTGACTCCTCAAATTATCTCCGTATTCGTCTCTTACATCTTTTTGGCAAATTACTAAACGCTCCAATCAATGCAGAATTGGTTAAGCATCTTACTTCACACGACTTCCTTTCAGGTAAGCAATATAGGTTCCGTTTTTCTAGGTCAACCTCTGATGTGTTGACTGTTATCACTGAATTTGTCTATTAAGCTTTAAATAAGAACAGGGAACCCCGGGCCATAACTCTAGATATCTCAAAGGCGTTCGACAGCTTTTGCCATGCTGGCACAAGAGCTACGGCGTATTGTGACGAATATTTGACAACACTTGGATTAAGTTTTATCAGTTCCCAACGAGGTATTTATGCAAATAATACAAATATTTACTCGTGTCTTAGTGACATGTACGATAAAGTAAAACTGGCGACTGCTTGCGAAACAGAGCGCCAATCAGTGGTCAACTGGGGCAAATAATGGCTTGTACCTTTTAACGCCTCCAAAACGAAACTTCTTTCATATAATTACCACAAAGAATTTTTTCTACCTGCCATCAGCATTGATTAAAAACTCCAAGAGAGGAACACTTTACGTCTTCTTGGGCTCACGTTTTCCACTGACTTGGTGTGGAGTGATTTTATTGAATCAGATGCAAGTTCTATTGCTAGGAAAGTATGTTTGCTGTATCATGCACGACAATTATTCCTGTCAGAATCCATTTTGCACATTTATAACTCTACCATTCGTCCTTGCATTGAATACTGCTGCTGTATCTGGTCTGATGTGCCTACCATACCTCAAGAAATTCTTGACAAAATTCAAAGAAGGATTTGTCATGTAATTGATTCTAACCTGAAATTCCGGCAGTCACTTTTTAACATGACATGACATGATATAGCATACCTCTGTCTTTTCAACAATTATGTTCAATTCTGTTGATGAGCTTCACTTTTTTGTGTCACGATTGAATTAATTAAAGCGTACTACTACATTGGCAATTATGTCTCACCATTATATTGTTAAACTAGTTAAATGCAATCGTATGTCATATACGTTACTTTACTCGCAGCTCTCGCCTATAAAACTCCATTCAGTTTTCATGTTTTCCTAACATCTACAATCGTCAAAAATTAAATGTA